CACATACTAGATAAAAAAAGAAGAAAAGTTTTAAAAAAATCTTTCCTAGGCACTACTTATCTTTATCTACGGATCCAGGAATTGATTGACAGATATAGCTCCACTAACACAGATAATCAACCACTCTATGTTTTTATTAACTCAATTGGCAAAAAAATGTCATGATATTCTTACAGTATGGATATGGAAGTCTCAAAAGACATTCCCCATCTGATTTCCATTCTTCAATTTCTTAAAATTAGAAATTTTCCAAGTACTATTTCTGATCACAATGCACTGTCATTCTCTGCAATCATTTTGGCAAAGCGAACAGAAATATCAGCCATTCCATGCTTTAGCCTGAATAGATTGTCTGAATCTTCCAGCTGATTGCCAGAGAGAAATGCAGATCACCTGCCCACTGATGCCACTCACTAACAGAACGTCACCCTTGAGCTTTGAAGTCGGAAGACCTTGAATTCCCTCAGAGTACAACCGAAAAGATCTCAGACAGAGATTTGCCTCTGACATGTTTCATTATTTTTTGTGGGATCCAAGCATCATCCATTCCTAAGGTGCTGTGCCATTGCCAAGTTAAGATAAATACCTTCTGAGACAGTTATTTTGCAACTTTCCATTTTAGGTAAAGCTGATGTGTGCCTTAGGGTGTGTGTGTGTGTGTGTGTGTGTGTCAAGGTCAATATCATTTAGCTCACTGTATTCTTTTATCTATTGATTGATTTGTTTGCTTTGAGCTCAGGGAAGGCATAATTCCATCTGGCCGTAGGTGCTGAATTCACCCTTTCGTCCTTCCAACCTGGGAGTCTGTGTGTCTCATGGAATATAGAGTTGAGTTGGCTACATCCTTTCTTTAAAAATAGCTGTGTTCTGGGCGTAGATTATTATGGGAACAGTTTTGGACATTTCACATTCCTTCCCAGTGGGTACCATAAAGTCATGGCCATGAAGGCTTGCCAAGAACAGCTAATGAGTATCCACATTCCAGCCCAGAGGTACTGTTCTTAGCATTATTTGGCTTGATCTCTATGTTTCCCTCACTCATTGTCATAAAGTGTTCCGAAGCTATTCTAAGCATACTCTATTTTCAAAATGCCCTCCATGAGCCTTAGGTGACAGGCAATGGTGAGAAGTGAAGCACAAATATTAATTATTCCTTTGTTCACTTTATAAGCCTGTATGCTTTGGATTATTTTTAGGATTTATTTATATAATGTTATTACTCAAAAAGTTCCCCTTAATTGTTTAAAGAACAGAGTAAGTGCTCAACTATGCAAAGACATTACGGGATTCAAAAAAACAAGCCTTGATTTCAGGTTTCAAGAGCATAAGTCAAATAGAGGTCTCTGTTTTGTTTGTTCATTTATTTTGTATTTTAGATTTCACATATAAGTGAAATCAAATCATATTTGTCTTTCTCTGTCTGACTTATTTCACTTAGCATAATACCTTCTATGTCCATTCATGTTGTCACAAATGGCACGATCTCATTCCTTTTGTGGTTGAGTAATATTCCACTGTATATATGCACCACCTCTTCTTTGTCCATTTGTCTATCAATGGACACTTAGGTTGCTTCCGTATCTTGACTATTGCATTGCTGTAATGAACACAGAGATGCATAAGTCTTTTTGACTTAGTGTTTTGGGTTTCTTTGAATAAATGCCCAGAAGTAAAATTGCTGGGCTCTTCTTTGTCTCTGTTATAGCCTTTGCTTTAAATTCTATTTTGTCCGATCTAGTATTGCTACCCCAGCTGTTTTGTTTTTTTTACTTCCATTTGTATAAAATATCATTTTTCACCCCTTCACTTTAAGTCCATGTGTGTCTTTCTTTCTGAAGTGGGCCTCTTGTAGGCAGCATATATATATATGAGTCTCGTTTTCTTATCCATGCAGCCACTCTGTGACTTGTGATTGGAGCATTTAATTAATTTACATTTAAAGTCATGACTGATAGATATGTGGTTATTACCATTTTATTATTCATATTTTTGGTCCCTCCTCCGCCTCCCTCTCCTCCTTCTCTTTCTCAATATGTCCCTTTAACATTTCTTGTACTACTGGTGAAGTCCTTTACCTTTTTCTTGTCTTGAAAACTCTCTGTCTGTCCTTTGATACTAAATGATAGCCTTGCTGAGTAGCAGCATAATCTTGGTTTTAAGTCCTCGCTTTTCATCACTGAATATTTTATGCCAATCCCTTCTCACCTGCAAAATTTCTGTTGAGAAATCATCTGACAGCCTCATGGGAACTCCCTTATAGGTGCTAACTGCTTTTCTTGTGTTGCTTTTAGGATCCTCTCTTTGTCTTTAACCTTTGACATTTTAATTATGATGTGTCTTGGTGTAGACCTTTTTGGGTTCATCTTGTTTGGGACTCTCTGCACTTCCTGGACTTGTATGTTTTTTTTCTTGGTCAGGTTAGGAAAGTTTTTAGTTATTACTTTTTCAAATAGGTTTTCAATTCCCCGGGCTCTCTTTTTTTTTCTGGTGTACCAATGATGTGAATTTTGGTATACTTGATGTCGTCTCAGAGGCCCCTAAAACTATCTTCATTTTTTTTGGATTCTTTCTTTTTTCTTCTGTTCTGTTTTATACTCAATTTGTCTTCCAAATTGCTGATTTGATGCTCTGCCTCATTTAATCTGTTGTTGTTTCCCTTTAATTTATTATTTATTTCAGTTATTGTATTCTTCATTTCTGACTTTTTAAAAATGTTTTCTATCGCTACATTTATGTTTTCTATCTCTCTGTTAAAGTTCTTACTGAGTTTATCTACTCTTCCCCTAAGTTTATTGACCATCCTTGTAAACAGTGTTTTGAACTCTGTATCTGGTAGATTGTTTGCCTCCATTTTGTTTAATTCTTTTTCTAGAGTTTTGTTCTGTTCTGTCATTTGGGATATGTTTCTTTGTCTCCTCATTTTGACTATCTCCTTGTGTTTGTTTTTTTGTATTAGGTAGAGCTTCTACATCTCCTAGTCTTGTTAGAGGGGCTTTATGTAGTAGGTGTCCTTTGGGGCCCAGTGGTGCAGTCTCCCTGGTCACCTGAGCTGGGTGTTCCTCTTGTGTCCATTGTTTGAGCTGTGGGTGCCCTCCTGTTGTAGTTGAGCCTTGATTTCTGTTGGCATGTCGGTGGAAGGATTGACCCTCAAGCTGATTTGCTGCAAGGACTGTCTGTGACTATAGCAGAGAGGCTACTGTGCAGGGGCTTACCCCAAGGAGCAAGATTCCCATTAGCAGGGCTCTGGTGCCTGCTGAGTCTGCCCTTTGTGGAGCTGGTGGGGTCATACTCTGGTGTAGTCTGAAGCTGGCCACCAGGTGTGTTGATTCTGAGGCCTCTTGGGAGGGGCTCTGGTGCAGGCCAAGGTCAGCTGCTGCCTGCTCCTTGCCTGGGGCCATCTGGTATGAGCTACAAAGTCATCTGCAAATGGTTGGTTGCCAATTGTGCTGGGCTTGGAGGCACCCAGGAGAGGCTAAGCTGCAAATCGATGCCAGCTGCCATTAGTGCCAGGTTTTGAGCCTCTTAGCAAGAGGTATGGCACACACTTAGGCCAGATGTTACTTGTTTGGAGTTTATGAACCTTTGAGAGATTATAAGAAAGTCCACAGCTCTATCCAAGAGACAGAGTGTTTGAAAAAGCTGATGATATCAGATTGGGTGAGCTTATAAATTGGGTGGGGTGGGGTCAAGAAATCACCAGGGTGGAGCCAAAGGTGTTAGCTACGTTAATGGAGACTAAGACTTGGTGTCCACCTGTGCCTGAAGGATGGGGGGATGGCTCAGCAAGGGAACAATGGGACCTGCCCAAATAGAACTGCCTCTCCAGCCTTTATCCCGAAGTCAGATAATTCAGTTTCTCTCCATATGTGCCTCATGCTTTTCTAACTCCGATGGTTTTTATAGATAACATTTTAGTATTATTTTTGTGGCAATGTTAAAGAATGATGATAGGGAGGATATAAGAACTATAGATATAAGAACACTATAGAAAGGCATGGTGGGGTGAAAATGGAAGATGCAAGAGGAATAGGTGGTAAGAGATGAAGGGAATAGATGATGTCACAAGTGGACATAAAATTTTGTTGGTTATTTAGGATCAAAATAATTCAGGATTCAGGCTGATGTTTGGACTGAGCTTTAGACTGAGGAAGAGACTATGGTACAAAGCAAAGTAATGGTACCCTCCATCCACTGGCCAGTATGAACTCAGGAAGAACAATTCGTTACTGATGTCATGAGCAATTAATTTTTGTTCTGGGATCATCAGATCCTAAGTCTGAATATTACTGAAGAAAAACTAAGAAGTAAGAATAAAATATCAAGTATGGGAGGATGACCCAACATAGTGTTATAGTAAAATGTGGGTACTGGGAGAGAAAAACAGAGGTGGGTATCACCCAAGATGTTTAAGTACTCCTTGCATCCCATCCTTTTGGGTCTAACTGGAATTAGAAAGAGGCTTCAGATGTAATAACAGTGGGCCTAGTTTTATATTTTTGTATAATGATAGTAACTGTTAATGCTTATTGAGAAATTATAAGCCAGAAACAAGGTTGAGTGTCTCACATGGATTATTTCATTCAATCCTCACTACAACTCCAGAAGGTAAGATCAATTATTTTTTGCACTGGGTGAATGGAAAAACAGGGGTGAAGAGATCAGATAACCCAAGGTCACAGAGCCAAGAAGTTTCATGCATGGGACCCACATGATCTGACATTAGATTTAGCTTTCTTAACCACATCTTCAAACTAAAGAGTACACCTGAGATGGAGTTATGGTAGCAGGGTTGCTAGTGGTAGATGGAAGACAAATATGCCTAGCCTAAGCACCCTGTACCCATGGAGATGTTAGTGATATAGTTGATTTCTTCTCAAATTTTGAACAGCTGTGAGGTGTTTGGACCACTGAGCCCAGTATCAGTATACATAAATAACCCTAACTTGATCCCCTTTGATTTTATTTTTGGATGTCATAGCTTCGTCCTTTCTTTATTTCAGCTAAGCCTCTACTGCACATTCCCTGAGCAGCAGAACGATCCATTTCAGGAGCATATTTTATGTGATGCTGACACCAGCTGCTCTATGGAGACCTTCAGCTTTTTGCCAGAGTGTAATTGGCACCCAGGAGTAGGCAGTCTCCAAAGAATCAAAAAGTAAATGTGTTTCTCAGTAAGTCTTTATCTCAATATGGAAAAAGCAATAAATTGTGAAGAATCTGAACAGCTATTCTCTAAAAATACACACAAACATTTATTTTGCTAAGACATAGCTTATTGCCAAAAAGGAAGACAACAGAGCTGTCTTTTTAACAATCTCCATGTAACTTGTTTTTAATGCCGATTATTTAAAGCTCCTTAATATCTAGTGCTGGGCAATTTAAGATATTTAATCAACATTTATTGATTGATTCATTCATTCATTTATCAGACATTTTTGAGTACTTACTGTATGTCAGGCAATATTCTAGGAATACAGCAGTAAACAATGGTGAACATAAATTTTCACCTTCATGGAACTTACACTGTGGCTATAAGCACGTTTGGAAGAAGTAGAAATGGTGGAGGAAGCATAGATCCATCATTTACTTCTTTTAAGTTTCCAAACATTACCCTAAATTAGAAAATTGTACTTTTGATGTCTATTGATTGGGGAAAAATATAATAATAATATCTACGGGTTCAGAAATGCTTTATTTATACCTTTCTATGCATTAGAAATAGTCACACAAATATAAGTGAGATATATTGATTTTGTCAAAAGAAATTCCTGACTTTTACATGGTTTGATGTTTCTCTTGTGGTAATGTCACAGATCCCCATGGGTCCAAGAACAACAAACTGGGATGACAAATTAAATGATTCCTGAAGATTCTTTCCAGGTTTGAGAGTGGAGCACTGTCTTTAATAAGAACTGCTATATGCTCCCTTGAAGATAATTTTTAAAAAAATAGTCCATCTCTTATTTAACTTATTCTTTCTCTATTAGAATATTTATAGATAATTCAGCACATTTTCCTCAATTTTAAAATTAGGGTGTGATGTTGCTCCTGAAATTTATTTTGTCTCCGTTTTATATTAGATAATTCTTTTCAAAATGGTCTCTTATTTTTTTCTTTCTCATTTAAAAGTAATTCACTTGATGCCCATTTACCCTTGTAAACAAAAATAATTAGGTCTTACTATGCCTAATAAAAATATATTTTTATGTTCAGTGTAAGTCTGATTGAGTTTATGTTAAAATACTTTAAAATAGGAAAAGTAACCTCATCCTTGTCATTTTTATTACATTTATCAGATTTCTGAAGGAAACCATACCAATGTTCAGAAAAATTCTTGAAAACTCAAAAATAAAGTACTGTAGCCTAGAGCAAATCACCTTGCTTTGCATATAATGTCTGATAAGTCATTAAGCCCTCCCTAAATTTCCAGATGAATTATTTCTATAGTGCTTCAGTGTGATGATTTATCTTCAATTCATATTTCATTAAGGCCATATTGAAAAGCTCTCACTAAGATTTAATCTCATACAGCAGAAAAACATTGGCATTACTACTTTATTGGGTGCAAAAAAGTTTTCACTTAAAATATTTTCATCTTTTTGAGAGTATACTTTTATGGAAGAAATCTGAGGTGAACTTAGAATTATTTGAAATGAAAAGATGTTTCTATAAAACTTTATTATATCAACCTGACCATTTAAATGAACTTGAGGTAATTTTCAACTAAATATTTTGATCTAATTGATTATACACAATATAATTAAAAACTAGAGAGCAGTAGCAGTTTCTATGTAAGCTCCGACTATAATATGAGCCTAGAATTTTGCCTTCATTTTATCATTGGTTTCAATTCCTTGTCTTAGCAATGAGAGGAAGGAAAAAAAAAGAAATGGAGACATTTATTCAATATTAATTGTAACTGAATCTGAAAAAATGAGGTCAAGCAAAAAGTAGAGCAAATCTAAAATCATTAATTGAATACCTTTGCTAGGTGCAGAGCTCTGTTTTAGGCGATATGAAAGAAGTAAAAAATAAGTTTCTCATCTTTAAGAAGTTTGCTATAATATACTTACATGATCATTTAAATGACAAAAAATTAATAGAGAAAAATACCACATATTTAGTACATGCTTATTATATTTGTAGATCCATTATCTAAGTATTAACAAGAACAAAATGCTTATTGGAAACTAAAGGAGAGATAAAATAGGAAAAAGTTGAATTTGACATAGCTTGGGTCAGTAAACTAAAGAAAATATAAAGAAAATCTTAAAAGAGTGAATACATATTACCTACCCATTAATGGCAGAGAGGGAGTAGACATCTCAACAATAGCAAAAGAAACCCCAACATAGTTGAATGATATTTTTAAAAAGTACTAGAAAATATTCTTAACTTAGATTTTTATACCCAGCAAAACAATTATTCAGAGACAAGAGAGACAAAAATGAAAAGACAAACACTAAAAGAATATCCTGACTTAAGAATCTTGCTGAAAGAACATGTACAATTTATATTTCACAAAAAACGGAATCTAATTCTATGAGAAAGAATCCAAATTATGTGAACATCTAGGATATCTAGAGTCAAAATGCCTGGGCTTCCTATTTGATAGCTATGTGACTTTAGATGATTTATTTAGCCTCTCTAGTCCCATTTCTTCATACATAAAATGAAGTTGATGATAACAGTATCTATTTCATAGTGTTGTTATAATAATTTTGATGCTTACAAAGCATTTAAAAGAGTGTCTGGCACTACAAGAGTTTATATATATGAAATATATATTAAAAATAAAAATGCATAAATAAAATTTTATAAAGATTTGTTGCTGTGAACTTTAAGGTCATTGCATGTTCTTGAATAACAGTGTGATATAATAATCACATTTGAGGGGCAGTAGGAAAAATACCAACATTATCTTTCTTAGTTTTGATGCCAGAAGTAAATTATGTTTTACTTTATTTAATCTTTATTCTCAGATTTCACAGAATAATGTCATTGTTCTGTGTCTCTTTTGTCACTTAGACTATGGTATTAGAACTATAAAGGTAAGTTTGAAGTAAATAACATGATAGCTTTATTTAATGTGGTAAGTTTTTGTATTGTTCTGTTTGTTGACCTCCAAAATTAATATACCTGTTAGGAAGGGCTCCTTGTGGCTGATAGGGCTCAAATTTAAAAACAGAGCTTAGCAACCATTGCTAAACAGGGTTTTTTCAGGTAGGCTGTGCTTCAGGAGGAGCCTGTACTTAGCTGCCCGCCTCCCTCATTCAACGGCATGCTTGCACTGTATTTCTGCCACCTGAGCCAACCCTTTTAAAGGAGTTCCTGGAATCTTATTTCAACCAATAGGACTGAGATGTTCCCTGTCCAACCTGAGCCACACAGCTATATCTTTATTAGCATCATTGCTGACCAATCAGAACAGCTTTATTTTGACCAATCAGCACTGTGTTTTTTGGAACAATCAAATTGTGAGGATATAGAGCCCTTTTTTGCATGAGAATGGACCCAGGGGCAGGAAGTTTTTTCTGTATAAGTCAAGGCCCCTCTGGCTCTGGGAACTTTTAGTTCCTATTGAAGATTGTTTCCTGGGCTAGAGCTGTAACAGTGAAGGAGAACTGCAGCACCAGGGCATCCTTGCCTGAGGCTGCCTCCTAGACATGCTGTTCCACAGCCATGCTATATCAGAATTAAGCTATATCACAATTGAGCTTACAATTGAACTGTTCCATAGCTGAGCTCTTTGCACTCAGCAAACTCTCTCCTTTCACTGTACCCCAAATTGGAGACTCCTATTGGCATTGAATTGGTGGTGACAACTTTAGGCTAACAAGTTCAAAGTAGTATTTAATTTTCAGATGCAAAATAGCACAATACAAAATAGATGCATTTTTTCCCCCCCACTTATTTCTAAACCTATTTAACTGGAAAGAGCATCTAGATTACAGGGCAGCATCAATGAACTCACATATGTTGACATATTTTCAGCTATCTTCTTTGGAATGAATTTTCATATTTTTATTTTCCAACTATATTATATTTACTATAATTATTGCTTTTGGAAAGAACAAGGCACACCTCAATCACATGAACCACACTTTAAGTAAATTTTTAAATTTCTTTTATATATTACAACATATTGCCTCAGATAATTGGGACAAAAGGAGATAAAGATAGATGACTGTCCATAACTGGAGGTTATTTCATTTAGAAGGAGCTCAGTTTTTAGAAAAAGATCTCCTTAATTGGACCTGAACTCATAATATTCCTCATATAAAATGATGTAAAAATTGCACATGATGCCTATTCCTATTTTTATTTCTTGCCTATGTTGTCTTGTTCTGAAGGCTGTGAACAGGGGGCTGGAATTTTTCTCCTTGCTGACGGGAGCTAGGATTGTCTGCTCTCTAACGTTTAGCAATGCAGTAGCATTGGCAGTTTACAGTTTTTCAGCTGTGGTTATTTCAATCTGGGCTTCCATGACAATCTCTAAAATTGCCTTCTCATTCAGTCCTGAGGATGGCTTATCCAAGGACTCTTTAGTGTGCCATTGGCACCAGCCCTGCAGCTCTGGCTCTGGTTCTGAAGGGTGCTTTAGGTGCAATAAAATAATTTAATTGGGCTCTTTGATCTTATTTCATTTGGCCAGCTGGGAAAGCGAGCGCGCTCTCTCCACTCTTCTGTAGCTCCAGGTTGGCTGCTGGCCCTCTAATGTGGTTTCTTCTGATGCCATGGGGTTCTAGCTCTCCTCAGCTGTTTACACTGGCATTGGCCTAAGCCTGGTGTGCTGATTTATCTCTGCTGGCACTGGTCCCATTCCTCTGGCTTTTGTTCTCTGCAATGCTGCTGAGTTTCCCCTGACACCTTGTGAACTCCCAAATGCTCCCAGAAGCCTGAGATGTAGTCACATTTCAGCTGCTGCCCCCAAATGAGGTACCAATTAAACTGGGAGGAAAAGGGAGTAGGTTTCGAGCTAGAAAGGTGAAGCCAACAGTTCTTAATCTCCGAGCCATGTTTATAGGAAGAAAGTGACACACACTCTGAAGTTTGATTCTAAGTAATAGTTTGGAGGGGTGAGGAGATTTGTTTTAGTATGTGTGTTTAGAGCGAGTATGAGCTTTCATCTTTAAGTTATAAGGAATTGCTTGGAACTGTTTATGAAAGAGTTGCTGAAAGCCCCCCATAAACAATTGGAAGTTCAATCTTATGGCTGCAAATACATTAAAATAGAAAAAAAAATTAGTAAAGCACGGTGTATAAAAATCCTTTTCCCAGTTCCTTCCAAAAATAACTTTTCTTTTTTCTCACCTCAGTAGGAGATCTATTGTAGTGCAAATTCATTTGTCAGAGACTAAATATATTCTACAGCACTTCATGGGATGACATATGCCATATGGTCTTTCATGGTGTAAAATTTCTGGTCAACCAAAGGCCTCCAGATTGTGGCTCTACAAAGGAGCAGGTCACCTGAGGGAATTGGAGAGGAAGAGATGCCAGCGACTGAATTTGGAAGTGGAGGTCCTAAAAGAGAGGAAGAAGTTTACATTTACATGGTTTCTGCCTTTTCTCATTAAGGCTGATTGTGTGGTATTTTGTTTTGTTTGTCATTCATGAGCCTGAGCTTAAACAACCGTGAGGAACATCC